CAAAGGGGTTAAGCACAGATCATAGGACCGTGCTACAAATTAAAAGCAAGGTAGAAGAGCCCTACTTCGGTTTTGTGGACAGGTTCTATCTTGGTTCGGCAAAAAATCTTGGTAGCTCGGTTTGAGCAGGGTTTTTATTAGCCAGACCATGGCAAGCATCTCAGCATACTTGCTTTGGAAACGACTTTGTTAGACCGGTTCGTCGTCTAGGGGCAGCTTTCTGAGTTCGGTCTAAAAAACTAAGAAAGCTGGCTTAGCCCCACAGGCCTAAATCGGTTGAACTATGAGTTTTGTTACTTCGGTTGAGCCTCTAGGGGCAGCTTTCTGAGTTTGGCTTAGAAGCTAAGAAAGCTGGCTTAGCCCCAAAGGCTTAGCTCGGTTGAAGTCCGAGGTTCCTTAGTTAATAAAGTCAAACTTCGTTCGGTGGGATTATCCCGGTTAGAGTTATTCAAGAGTTGATAACCTACTGAAACTGCTGTTTCTTCTACAAGTTCTAGTTCGGTTATTTGCTAAAGTAATCTTCCTATGTAGGACAAACAATATCCTAGTTCGGTTGCTACATAATTTTGGATCCAAGGCTAGTTTTCTACAGAATAGTTCATACACGCATGAGTTCTACTAATTTTTTCATGAAAGTACAGAAGCGAAGCAGAAATGGAAGAAAATGTTTTGCAAAAATACAGTAAGCAACACGCATAGAACAAATGCAAAAAACAAACAGAACAGGGAAGATGGATCTGTTTACCAGATTAAAGAAGGGAGAGCTGGAGACGAAAACAGTGGTAGCAAATGAAGTACACAAGCTTGGTAGTTGGAAAAGCAGAGGCACGAAGAGAGAAGGTGAATAGAATAGGTGATTGATCCAAAAATGAAAGGGCTGTTTTGTGAAAAGGGAGAGAGGGAAAAAAGTGGGAACTGTTCAAAATTTTCGTGGTACGAGGGCGGCGTGACAGCTGCTCACAGCCTATCAGAGCCCACCACGTGTCTTTGGAAAGGGAAGCGTTACAGTCGTGATTGAAGAGACGTTTTGACCGGACAAAACATGCCACGTGTCATAAGAATGGGAAGCGTTACAGACACTATGATTGAAGAGACGTTTTTGACCGGACAAAATAGGGCCCGGAGTAAAATTAGCTCGGCTTAAAAGTTCAAGGGTTTTTAGCTCGGCTGAAAAAGCTTAATAAACTCTAGCTCGGCTAATAGACTGGTAATCCCAATCATGTTGCGCAGATGGAATTAAGGGGCAATTGAGAGGGTAATTTTTGGGAAAAATTGGGCCGAGCTGTGAGATGGACTTTGTGGCCCAAAATACGAAGGACTGTGTAAAAAGGCCGTAATGTTACTCCGGCCCAAGAAAGGTAAAGTTACTCTGGCCCAAGAGATAAAGTTACTTCGGTCCAAGATGATATAAAGTTACTCCGGTCCGGAGGCAACTTGGAGTTAGGCCGGTCTCAGAGTTAGTCCGGTCACGACGTAGTATGGTTAGAACGGTCAAAACCTTGCTACTCGGTAGTTCGGTCTAAACACACCATGGTTGAATAGGAGAGAACCGAGATAAGGAGTGGATGGAGAAAACCGAGCTAAGGATAGTTCGGCCTACTCTGTGGCTCGGCATAGCCAGTATTATTTCGGTCATGTGGTAGTTCGGCCATAGTAAAAACTATCCCACTTGGTTTAAGCAGTGGGGGGGTGTAAAAGGATAAGCATTATCCTTAGAAGTATGAATCCTTGGAGGACTCTGCATGGAGAAGTAAAAGTCCTACTAGGATTATGCCACTCGAAACCTATAAAAGCTCACAAGCATCACCTTGGAGGAGGTAACATAACACAACATACAATTTTGCTTCCTGAATACATTGAGCTTTGTCTATTTGTCAAGTTTGCTGACTTAGGCATCGGAGAGGTTTCCGGCACACACCCGCCGGCTAGCTCACGTTTGTGTTTTCAAGTGACAAAACGAATCCGTACACGAAGTCCATGGTAATATGATCCCACTTCCACTCTGGTATAGGTAAGGGTTATAGTTTTCCCGCGGGTTTCTGATGTTCTACTTTAACTTGTTGACACACCAAACACTGAGCCACAAATTCTGCAATATCTCCCTTCATACCATTCCATCAAAAATGTTCATGAAGATCTCGATACATCTTAGTACTTCCAGGATGAATGTTGTAACTAGAGCTATGTGCTTCCGTCATAATCTCCTTCCTCAAATCACCACCAGCAGGAACACAAATTCGGCTATGAAATCTAAGCAACCCATCATCACTAACCACAAAGTCTAAATGCTTACCCTTTGTCATTCTTCATCCATTTCTTCAAGACAAAGCTTCAAATTAAAATGTTAGGAGTTCTAAAACATATACTAATGATGTAGAATGCATAGAAAAACATTTCTATGCAAGAATTCTAAACTCAAACCAAATCAAAACATAATTTTCACAACAAATCTTCGAAAACCTATTTTTCTTTTCCAAACCACCATTCAAAACACTAACTTCAATCCTCTAAATCCTATCTTAAATGATCTTCTAGGTAGATCAAAATAACAACACAAAAAAGGGGATATGATTTCTTACCTTTTGGTGAATTTTCTTGAATTTCTAAGCTTAGAATTGAAACTCCACTATAGCAAAATTAGGTTTTTACGGCTTCACATCAACGACATACATAAATGCAAGTTGTGGTTTCTCACTTTTACGACTTATTTTTTTTGCATGTCGTAAATAATTTTCCAATCACGACATGTCTATTGGGTAGGTCGTGAATGCTAATAGCGAGGAATTTTTTATGGCTTGCAATGTTAGCCGTAAATAATAAAACTTTCTATGACGTGCATATGTCATGTCGTTATGCACGACACGCGTATTTTAACTGTTAAAAATATTGAACATTTCACAGCACACAAAAAGCCAGTCGTTAAAATTTTCATTTTCCACAACGCACAAAAAGCCAACCGTTTAAAATATTACACTTTCCACGAACACAATTGCTATCGTGAAAGGTTCGACCGGAAAAAAAAAAAAATGTAGCACCAAAATAAAAATTTCAAATGCCAAACACCAAAAAAAACTTAAAAAAAAAAAAAAAAAAAAATAATCAAAAGCCCCAACTCTTCAGCCCCAACATCAACCTTAAAAATAAAAAAAAAAAAACTAGGAATTTCAACATATTAGACATACAAGAAAAAAAAATCAAAATACACAACTGTTCGGGTTCTAAGACTTCTAATCATAAAGGAACATAGAAATCGTGCAGAGAGACGTTTTGAGGTCGAAAGAGAGGGAGAAGAGAGAGGGTTCGAAGACAAATTTTAGGCACTTCGATCTGGAAGAGTTTCAATCTCTCTCTTTGGAGACTTCGACCTGGTTCGGAGGCGACAACAATCGACAATACAATCTCATCTTTTCTCTTCTCTTCTCTTCTCTCCTCTCTGCGTTTCTTTGCTTTTGGTTTGGTTTTGGTTCGTCGTCTTCAACTTGATTCGGTACAAACCCTTTCTCAATTTCTGATTAGATACTCGAATTTCCTTCTCTCTGAATATTTGTTTGGCTCTATCATATCTATGTTTTTCATTTTTTATTAGGGTTTTATAACTGTTCTTTTCGATTCACATGTCTTGATTTTCTTCTTTTCGAAATGGGCTTTTAATGTTTTTGTTGATTTCATTAGGGTTTCGAATTTTCTTTTTTTTTTTTTTATTTTTTTTATTTTTTTTATAACAAAACTCATTTCTTGTTTGTGCTTCTTATGGTATTACTTCAATTGATCTTGGTTAGTTATAGATTTTGGTTTGTTGGGTCCAATATAATGAAGAATCAACACTAAATTTATGACTTGTTTGGTAGTGTTTTTAGCATTTTTTGTTTTTATTATCTTAAAACTTGAAATTCCAGTGATGAAAATTATGAAAATGCCCTTGAAGTCGTTTGGATTTCAGGAAGTTTGTTGCCACCCTTTGTTAAATTTGCAGTTGATTTTTAGATGGTTTATCTAGTGAATTGAAGACATTTTTATTTTTTCTATGAAGTTGTCTTGTGCTTCTCATGGTGGTGAGGTAAAACTGCATATTTACAAGGTGAAATGCTAATGTTTGCCCAGCTGGTGGTCATTCATTAGTCTTGATGAACTTGTAAATTGTATAAAATGTGTGAAAAGTGAATAAAAATATGTATAATTGTTGAAGGATGTGTAAAAAAATGTGTTAAAATACTAAATACTTTGGCTGTTTGTTTACTTTAATGACAGTCCAATTGTTGGCACATAACACTTAAATATTCTGAAGACTGCTTTTTTGTTCAAGCTAAAAATGAAGAGTTGATGCAGAATTTACTTCTTTTTTCTTTCTTTCTTTTACACTAGAGATGTAATGATCGGTTTCGTTGCGTGTCGTTTCTCTTTTGTCCTCTTGGAATTTGTGGTGTTCGAGAGCTTTCTTTCATTCCGATTCTTGTCTATTTCCGGGTAGGGCGTCTCTTGTTTCGGAGGGTATATGACCGAGTCCGGAGTGTCCAAGAGCGAAATAGGGAAATTCTGGACTGGGAACCAGGGCCGCACGTGCGGGGCCTTGGGCCGCACGTGCAGGGAAGGATGAGTTTTAGAGGGCTGCACACTGCCTAATATGCGGGTGCGGAGGGGGAGGTGTGGAAGGAGCCGCACGTGCAGGAGGCACGCTCCACATGTGCGTGGGCAAGTGCCGCACGTGCGGTCGGGCCTGAGTCCGGGGGGCTTTGTTTTTCTTCTCTTTTTGGGCTGTGTGTCACTTTTCTTGTATCACTCTCTCACTAAAAATCATCTACTCTCCCCTCTCTCTATATTCCTTACCCCCAAAAACACTTAGAATTCTTGATCTCTTTGGATCTATTGCTTTTCTACCCCCAAGTTCCTTCATCAAAGTTAAGGAGCAAGGCAAGGGCTTCACTTTATACGGAGGAGATCGGATTTCTGCACCATTTGATCCTAGGGTTTCATCAATCTCTTCATCAAGCTTGAGGTAAGGAAATTACTTATTATATATATGTTTGTGCAAGTTTTGATTGATCTTGAGAGCTCCTCTTTGTTTATTTCAAAAATGAGTTTTGGCTCAAGAAATAGATGGTTTTGTAAGAAGAAAATCCATCTTTGTTCTTTTTATAGACTTTCTTGAAATATTGCACCATATGGGTTGAGATTGATGTAGTAATGATGTTTTGAAAAGAGATGAGGAAATGTTGGGGTTTTTGTGAAAAACCTAGAAATTGGGGTTTTTGGAAATAATAAGGGGATTTACGGAACTATCTTAGATTAAATGAAAGAATGTGTGAGAATTTTGTATTGTTATGGTAAACATGATTACTTCTTGATGAATGAGGGTTTGGAAACCAAACTTGAAATTATTGTTGAGTGCATGTACACATGTAGTTACAAATTGGCACATTGTTGGAATCCATGGGTTATGAGAATTGTATATCTTAGAAGTTGATGTTTAAAAATGTTCCATATAGTCTTGAAAGGACTAAATTGTTGAGAATTGTACAAAATGAAGAAATGTTGCCATGTGTTGGTGGCTTCTGTTGAACTTATGGCCATTGGGTGAGATGGCATTGAGGGGAGGAAAAATGAGAATTTGGGTTAACATTGTGTTGTTGTTGAGACATTTAAGGATGAGAATTGTTTTGTAGCATTGTTAATTATTATATCACATTCTCTTTCAATTAATAATTTTACACTTGAAACAAGTTTGGAATGTTTGCATTGAGAAAATAATATCGTGAAATGAAATCATGGAAATGTTCATGGGATAAATACGTTGGTAAGTCCGGATAGGAGGTGTAGATGAGATTGATAAGTTGGCCTGAGTGTTCGGGGTGAAAGACCGAAAACACGTGCGGAGGAGGTACTACTTCTCTTCCGACTAGCAACCGGTAAAGTGAGGTTTTGGTAGTGCTAGTTGAGCCTACTTGCAGACACCAACCTAGGGATTACCTGAGTTGTATTTACCGCCCCCATTGGATGAAACTGTAAATTTCGAGATTGTTGAGATTTCAAATTGTTGTTGCATATGATGATATTTTGAAAGAGTATATAAACGAAATCCTCTTTAAAAAAAAAAAAATAGCATTGCATGTCTTTTGCATCTAGTAATGGAAATTTGGCATAAATGTATATACTTTGTTAAGGATTTCTCTACTGGGCTTTATGCTCATCCCTATGGGATTTTGGTGCGGGAAAAGATGTGGTGATCCCGCCGAGTTGAGGGCGTGGATATATTTTTGTGAAGAGTAATGACTCTATTTTTGTTGTGATTCATTTTGTGAGCCAATGGCTATTCATGTGTGGGTTCATGAAAACCATTTTGTGTAACCGGCTTGAGCCTTGGAAATTGTAAGCCCGTGAGGGCATTTTATTTACTTTTGGGAATTGATGTTCTACATGCTATGAATTCATGTATTTCTGTATTATTGAATGTCTAATTCGCATGTGGAACTTTTGTACGAACCTTCTTAATTAATGATGAAAAGATTGGAGAAACTACTATTGTTCCTGTGTGATGTTGGTCGATATATTTAATTTATGTTGGATTATTTCGGGGCGTTACAAGAGAAGACATTGACATTCTTCTGTTTGATATCTAACTTTTATTGGTTGGCAAGAAGCTTGTGTTAAATCATAGAGATGCTTATGTTGTGACCTAGATGATATTTGACAAATTTATTTATAGAACTACACTTTCTTTTAATTAAGGAGACATCACAATAACCAAAGGGGTGACTTTAAACATCAAAGTCAATCAGATGTTATTATGACTTATAAGATTGACAAACCAAACATCCCTAGCTTGTGACAAATTGGAACAAAAGAGTAGGACAGTATATTAAGCAGTAACAGTAGTAGTTCAGAAAATGAAAGTGAGAAATTTAAATAAGTGCAACCAGGCACAAACCACCAAACTAATTTGGAAAAAAAAAAAAGAAAAAAAAAAAGAAAGAAAGAAAAGAAAAGGGTAGGTGATGTGGTATAGGAGGTTTAGTAACTGTTTGCTCAATTCAATAAAGGAAAATGCTATTTTACGTGGTTTTTTTTTTTTTTTTACTAATACAAGTTTGCCTTTAAGGTCCTATGGTTTTCTGGGATTTGTTAGTTCCACAATTTTTGTTTTTTAAAGTTGCTTTGTGTCTTTTATTTATTAGTGCCTACGTGTGGTTGTGACTCTTTAGTGGTTTTTTGACTATTTCGATTGGTGGGTTTGTTGAATTTCATGTTTCCTTGATTTGGTTCGAGTGTTTGGATGAATACAATTTTCATAACAAAAAACCTGCTCTCTCTTCCTCTACCCCCCACCCAACTTCTTCTTCTTCTTCTTCTTCTTCTTCTTCTTCTCTCTCTCTCTCTCTCTCTCTCTCTTCCTTTGTCTCTCTCTGCTTCTGCTTCTTTTACCAGACCAAGTCAAAGTTTTTCATCCTCTTCACTTTACTACCTTGCTGTTTTCTTTTTTCTTTTTCTTTTTTTTTTCTTTTCCTACTTCGATAATTGTTGTTTTGGATACTTGGGTGTTCATATTATATTTTTTTGGTTTAATGTTAGTATTTTAATGTTGGATGCTCTGTTTTTTGGTTTTTGAAATTCTTTAAATATTTGCTTAGTCCATTTTCAATCCTCACCTATACTTTTACTCAAAATTATGCTTTTATATGTTTAGTTTCATATATTATGAATAACAATCTTTTTAAATTAATGGCGTTTGAAAAGGCTAATGCCCTAAAACTGCTCAGTTGACTATAAGTAGGACACTTGAAGAGACAAAAACTCTCTTTTTATCAAATGATGGAAAAATAAATTAGTTTTTCCAATTGTAAATTTTGATACATGATCACAATTGTTTTGTTTTGCTTGAATGTCTATTTATCTTAAACAGCTAACTATTTTGTCTTCACAAAACATTCCACTGCATGTTTATATGCTCAGAATATAGGAATAATGGTAAGGAAATTACAAGACACTATTAATCAAGCATATGATTGCATAATATTTTAAAATCATGTAATAATTTCAAATTTTATTAAATAGTCATGTGAACCTAGCATGGTGAGAACAAATTATATCCATCCATGCCATCAATATGAACGCACAAATTATATGTATATACAGATATTTCCAAAGATGCTTATTGTTTAAAATGATCGAGAATTTAGTCCTTCATATGGGTTTTTTTTAGTCTGTGTAGAACGATGGTTTGAATTTTTGTTTAGTTGTTTCTATTGCTCATATCAAGTCCAGGATTTGGGTAATTCAAATATTTAGAGATTTGGGTTATAAGATTTGTTGGAGAATTCTAGCCAACTCTGGGTTATTGAGATGTTCTGTTCAAGTACTTGGTTGTTTGGAGCTGTCCTTTTTGTATGACTGTGTTGCTCTTGTATGCTTAATGGAGCAGATGGCCAGGTTACAGACCCAACCCAACAGAAGGTAATCCCTTGAATTAGCTTTTGTTAATTTATAGGCCTTTATGATTTGCCATGTTTTTCACCCATTTAGTTGTATTGGTATGATGGCAATCTTGGCTGTAATTCTTGAGTCGTGTTTTACTTGTAAAAATCAAATAGAGAAGTTCACTTCCATGAACTTTAGTTTGTTAGAAATTTAGGAATTACATATTTAAGCGAATTTAATACATAGTTTCAAAGTTCCCATTAATTTACAAGGACAGATGTCATTAGAGTTCACCATATGTAATGTAAGGGAGCTTCTTTTTTCATTTTTTGTTATCATTTGACAAGAACAACACATTGAAGAAAAGTTTAAACATTATTCCCTCTTTTTGGGTAATTTACCAAGAAAAAGAATGGATAATGTTTTATGCTATTTACGTTTGCATAAATCTTGATTTCTTTATCTATTGGTGTATACTATTTGTATGTCAAACCTTATTACTTGTTATCTACATTATTGCTCCGCATTTGGTTTTCTATTGAAGCATGTTAGGTTTTACAGTATTTGTGCAATCTTGAATTTATAAAATTCTCTGTAATTGTTTTGTCAAGTGCAGCTATTGTGAGAACCTGAATACAAATCAAATAAATAATTAGGTATTAATAATTTTACAAATATCAAATATTTTACTGTGAATCTTAAAGTGCAAACTAAATATTATTGGAGGATCTTTTAATTAATTTTAAAACCTAAAATAAATTTATGGTGAAAGTCTTTAATTTAGAGGCAAGATTTATTATTTAAAAATAAAATAAAATAATTAGAGAAGAAGGTGTGACTTGAACTCTAGACCACAATTTGATAAATAATGGTCTTACCATTTGAGTTGCTTACAATATATTTAAATATTTTGTATATTATTTATTTATTTGACCTACACATGCTTTAGGTGTACCCAACCACTAGTATTAAATAAAATACACACAAAACCCTACCTTATTTGTTCTTCACAGTAGCTGAGAGAGAGAGAGAGAGAGAGAGAGATTTGAGAGAAACTTTTGGCAACATTAGTGGTCAACAACACTAAGGTATTGTCCTATTTTATTATATCTATATATTGTGATGGTTCATATGTGTAATCTGCTTATTGTTGGGAAGGAATAGGAGAAACGGGTGTGTTGTTTGGGTGCCAAGTTTGTGATTGGTGATGAGAAATAATAGGTCTAATTCTTAATCCAAAAAATTCTGTACATAACCACAAACTGTAAAAATCAAGAAACCTTATCAAACGGATGAATTTTGAATTGAAATTTTTACAGTAGATTAATTACATATTGAATTGCATATCAAAATTTTCTCAAAATTTTTGGAAGTCAAAATCTATATTAACTGGTGCGTTCAAATCTGTTCAGAAAATTGGTGTTAAACAGTAATTTCGGAAGTGTTGTTCTCTGTGTATAAATCAGAAAATTATCAAATCAGCGTCATTAGAATTGGTTACGAGTCTAGTTTCTTACATTTTTGGCCTTGCATTGATTGCTCGTGTATACTAAGAGAATCATTAATTTCTTTAAAGTGCTGCAGAAAACAATCTGTTTGGGCATAATTAATTGTAAACAATTATTTTGTTTAGCAAATCAAGTGAAACCATTTGGATTTGAAACTTACGATATATTAGCTGATATCTGGAGGGTTTTGGAATTTTTCGAACAACATGGAGTGGGTTTTTAATTTTTAAAGTTAGCAAATAGATTGGGAAAACTTGTTTAAAACTCTGTTTTATTTTGAAGTTACATTTAATTAAGTTTCGATCTGAACCCATGTCTTGGGTAATTTTAGACCTTGAAGAACATGAGCTTAGGTAATATTTAAGAGTAACGATGAGTTGTGTTTAGCCATGTTAGTGCACTTTAGTTTGGGGTTACTTAGTTCTTATTCTTTAGTATTTTTAAATTAGTAGTGACGTGTAGTCTTCATACTTGATTCAGGACACTAGTTGGACTTTCATACTTTATTCGAGGATTATATTATTTCGTTTTCAGGTGAGTAGTTTCATGCTACATATTTTTATAAATGTTCCCCTACCCTGAACTGTTGGAAAATTTAATTGTTGTTTCAAGGCTAAACTATTTTGATAAATTATTATATTATCAATGGAATCAAATTATTTCTGAAACATGTGTGAACTTGGCATACTGTAAACTATTTGTTTTGGTCTCATGTTTATAATGGTGAACTACCATCTTTTGCGAAACTGATGTATATCGATTATTGGAACCATTTGTATATTTTAGTCAAGGGAAATTATTCCACTGTGTGTGGTGACTCTGGCCACTAAAGGAACAGATCTGGGTTGGACTGTGATGACTCTAGTGCTCAATGATTGTAAGGAAAAGACCTAGGTTAGGCTAGGTGACCTTCAATCGGATCGTCTTAGAGAAAAGGCCCGGGTTATCACCTTGAGGATGATTCTTAGTTCGGTGTTGGATCCAATGGGACTTATAGCCTTGAGAACTGTGTGGCATATTACTTGTTATTTCTTGGTACCCAGAATATTATTGGTGTTCATTTTGTAATCTGTTTTAAGTGGAAAATGTCATTTATCATATTCTTGAGAGACATGAGTATTTTAACTGTTGAACTATGGAACCTTCTTTTTGAAACAGATTATCTTTATCAAAACTGTATACCAATCTAGTTTCTGTGATATATATCATACTTTGGAATTGAATTCTGTTTTCAAAACTGTATTTACTATCTATGTTGCTACTTACTGAGCTATCAGCTGACTTAGTTGTTTATCGTTTCCAAGTGTTAGAAGGACTTAGAGTGGACTCATGGCGTAGTGGGGACTCAATTGCATGGACCTCTAGGACATTCATTTATATTGTTTTAGATTGTTATTTCGAGTTTGTGCATATTTATTTTTATTTTTATTGAGATTCATTTAGGATTATTTTGATTTGTGGGCTCTTTGTATCCCATAAGTTTGGATGGTATTGATTATGGTTAGTTTGTCGTTAGTCACAAGTTTGGGTTTTGATTTATTTATTTCTGGGCTATCATCACTTTTATTCTTTGTGATTTTGGGTTCATGTTTAGGCTTACGTGTGCTTGGGGCTAAGTCCATGTGTGCCATGGCCAGTCATACCCGGGTTTGGGGTATGACAGCTATATTTCCCCAAATTAATATAAGGGACCATTATAAACGACGTAGAATAAGTAAGGAGGCTTCTGAAGAGGAAATCCAAGCTGTTAGGAATTTCCTAATACAAAGATATAAAGAGCACAAGCTGAGTATTGATGCAATTGAATCAGCCGATGATGGTGCACTCACAAGAAGATATTTGGGTAAATTTTGTATGGTTTATAACTTAATGATAGTTTTTTTTGGATGATTTAGAACATTTTAGACAGTTTTGAACGTAAAGATAGGTTTTGATGTTTAGAAACATAGTTTTTAGATTATTTGGAATGTATAGATAGTTTTTGGATATTCAGAACTTATGGATAGTTTTTTTTTTTAATTTTTTAATTTTATGTTTAAAACAATATTTTGGTGGTTGATTAATGTTTATATATATATATATATATATATATTTGTAAAGTTTGTTTGTAATGTTTTCTTATATTGTAGAGAACAAGTAAAATAGAAACTGCTGAATTAAAATATACATATACATATTCTATGGCATGCAAAAAATGTTGTAAAACTTGAGTTATTTACGACAGGAAAATGGGTTGTATTAAATATTTAGCAATGAACGTCGTGGTTTGTCCTTTGAATTAGCAGCGTGCAAAAGTAGTTGTAAAGAAAATCAAATACGATGTACAAGATCTGCTATTACAGGGTTTAACGATGTACTATGGCATGCTGTTGAAGTGAATGACTTTCCATAACTGGTCATAACACGGCTTTACATTGCGTGTCGTAGAATCGTATCCACGACGTGTATTTGGTGTCGTAAAAACCTAATTTTGTTGTAGTGCTCTGATTTTTCTTCCTTTTCTTTTTATTTTCTCTTCTTTTCCTTCTTCTCTAGCTCAAGAACAAGAAATCTCTCATGCTTTCTTCTTTCTTTTATTTTGTTTGACGCAAAAAGATTAATTTACTGAAGTGTTTCACTAATTATTCCATTAGCTTAATTAACAAACCTTAGTTCTAATTAATCGAGATTACTTCATAATCATAATTAGTTTAATTAATCCCACTTAGGCTTATTTAATCTTGCTTAAGTTTGGCTAATCCCACTTAATTTTTAATAAAGTACCCAATAAACTCTATTCATTAGACTAAAATCATTAAGCTCCTAAATTAAGGTTTATACGATTTCTAAACATACAATATTCAAGTTCAAAGTCATTCCCCTAACTTTTGATGTTCACCAAGGTTCCTATGCTAGAACTTCTCTTTCAAACATAAGCATTCCCTAAGTTTTCTATCAAGGCTACCCTATTCATACTCAACAATTATAAGTTCTCTAAGCTAGCATATTACATATACAACACAAAGCAACATAAGAAAATTCTAAAATGAATGAATACATGAATACAATGCATGGCTCGGGTGTTACATGTTTAATATGGGTTTGTGTAAGTGTATGTGGTATTTTAGTTGTATTTCATTAGGAGATTGATAAAGAAAATTGTGAAAATGCATGTAAGAAATAAGGCTTTGGAATTAGTTGAGTAATTCTTTATAATTTTCTTATCATACCTATTTTCTTTACATTAAATAGAATGTGGGTACTTTAATTTGAGAAAGCCCCAATTTTGGTAAAATCCTAATTTGTGAAATTGCATGAATTGTAAATATTATATCTCTTTCTTCAAATTGAGGATAACTACATGAGTATTATGTAATTAAATATTGTTAGAGATTGTATTGTTGGTTATTGGTGTAGAATGACACTATTGATGAGATTGACATCATAGGATGAGCTAAAACCCATTTTATAATTGCATATGTGAATTGTTGTATTAACCGGATGAAAACCCATTGTTGAATGGACGTGTGTTAAACACATTTTGAATAGGATTGAGTAATGGCATAAGTTGCCCATTTTACAATTTAAACATTATCGTCTTAAGTTGATTGGTATGGTGAATCTAGATAACATATAGAGACGATGATTAAGGTAGCGAGATAGTCCTTGGTGAAAGACTGAAAACTCGTGCAGGATAGGTACCCATTTGTTCTTTCAGTTAGTCCTGGTAAAGTGGGGGTTGATTAGGTGGTGCTTAGTGATGACTACTGGCAAAGTGATGGTTATGATAGATTACTAGTTGATTATGTGGTGCTTAGCGATGACTACTGGAAGAGGAATATAAATATACCTTGGTAGGATTTACCATGATAAAATGATGATTTGGATTATGAAATGAGTATTTATCAAACTTGTGATGCCTAATGATTTTTAGAAAACAAAACTTGCATTGATTTGAGATATCATTTGAGCATCCTATACATATGTAGCATCATGATCATGTGCTTGCGTAAACGCATATTAGTAGATGGAAAGATTATCCTACTGGACTATATGTTCACCCTACGTGGCTGAAATCTTTTTCAGGTGTTGATGATGTACTAGACAGTGAGTGCCTTGGACTTTGTGCAAGGGCTTCCTGGAGCTCTCTTGGATGTTCACTCTAGGGCCATTCTTTGTAGCGTAGGCCGAGTGCCCTTTATATTTCATAAGGGTTAATCCCTTTGTAATTGATGTGAGCCTAAGTGCATTTCTTATATCATTTGATGTTTTGTTTTGTATGACACATTGTATATTCACTTCACTTAAATGTTGAATATATGATGTATGTAATGAACCAATTTAATGTATTTGACGATTTTCATATTTATATACACGAGGGATCTTTTGATTATATTTATTTATTCATTATTTAAGTTAAATTAGTTGGGATTCGGATCTTAGAAATCTGGGGTGTGACATGAAAACTTAACAAATCAAAATCTCTTCAGACTTGCTCTTCTTCATACCTCCATACATATAGGGGAGATGGGTGAGCCATTCTTACACATAGTTCAAGAGAGTTTAACAAACTTTGGAAAACAATAATCGTTCTTACACATAAGTTAAAAGAGTTCAAAGTGTTTCCTTTTTCAAGAGCATGACATTCAAAGCATAATAGTAATGTACATCCATTGGAATAAGACAATACAAGGGAATAATCGACTCGAATACCGATTAGACGAACCTATAATGCCCCCATAAAATCACTTCAACGATTGTCTATTTGTACATTACATTTCCAAACAGTGATCATAAATTGATACATACATATTAACAATGGGAAAATATATGATTCCCAAAACACTTGTCTTTATCATTGAACTTCTTTGATTACACATTCATAGTATGCTTCGCATGTTCCCATTAGTACAAGATTACATGTAATTTAAAAGATAGATGATGTATATACTAAGATGCCTTAATTGCTTACAATTTCCCAAAACTTCAAGTTTGGTTCACAAAACAAAATAATAAACAAAACAAAACAATTTGAACACATTAGTCCATTAATTAATCACAATAGGCACAACAAATGAGCATCTATGCTCCACAAAAGGTTCAACCATGCCCTCTAATCAATGAGGTAGTGCTCCTTTGTCATGACCTGAAAGGTTGTTATTATAGGAATGAGCAATAGCCCAGTAGAGATGTAACGCACCCAAATAAATACAGTAAATCCAACCCAAAACATTTGTTAATAGTTACATAAATCAGAGTAAATAGTCATTTTATTACATGAAGTTAATGGTATAAAAGAGTTTAACATAAATAAATGTCCTTCGGGCTTACAACTTTCCAAGTCTTGGCTTGGTTACAACAAAAGTGAGGTTAGCTCATACAAATTTAGCCCTAGGCTATACAAAAATAAAACAAAACAAAAAGCTCTTGCTTTCCAAAGGTGCCTCCAATGCTATTATCTTGGTGGAGGCATGCCATCATTACCTGAAAATGTTTTTTCCAAATAGGGTGAACCACAACCCAGTAGGAATAATCTAACACAATATATGAGATTTAACAAAGGTATAAGTGCAATGTTCATATACAATGTCTGAGATAAAATATTTACACTTTTATACATATTCATAAAGATATCAAGTCCATATTCCATTTCACTTTCCTTCAATTCATTTCAATACATGAGCCAATTTCATTATTTCTCAATAACCCAAATGAGACTACAACTCAATAGCTCAACAATTTCACAATTAATACACAAACACTTCCAACTGCCATTTTACGGATATTTCGTCTGCGAGATTGGCACCCATGTATAAGTTTTGAGACTTTCACCCAGGACACTCCGACCAACTTAATTATAATGGAGTCCATCCCCTTTCTCCTCACAAACAATCATACATCTAACACAATATATGAGATTTAACAAAGGTATAAGTGCAATGTTCATATACAATGTCTGAGATAAAATATTTACACTTTTATACATATTCATAAAGATATCAAGTCCATATTCCATTTCACTTTCCTTCAATTCATTTCAATACATGAGCCAATTTCATTATTTCTCAATAACCCAAATGAGACTACAACTCAATAGCTCAACAATTTCACAATTAATACACAAACACTTCCAACTACCATTTTACGGATATTTCGTCTGCGAGATTGGCACCCATGTATAAATTTTGAGACTTTCACCCAGGACACTCCTACCAACTTAATTATAATGGAGTCCATCCACTTTCTCCTCACAAACAATCATACATATTCAATGTATTTAAACATATAATCACACATGGAGTACATTCATTTTCTCCTCCTAAATAACCATACATATACAATGTATTCACACAATCATAGTCAATGACAACCAACGAGTGATTAGTTTCAATTCACCTAATCCACATGCAGTTTCTACAACAATCAAAGCTATTCTTCACAGATAGCCCAATACAGATATTTCTAAACAGATATACAATCCAAAGACAAACAATTTAATGAAAATTTCCAAGGCTGTGAGGCATTATATATTCAATTCCATCATTTATTTCAATACTCACTCAATTCCATGTTTGCAACACCAATTTCAACCATTTATACAAAAATAGATATGACAATCATTTTAGGGCAAAAAATCCCCCTTTTCAAAATACCAATCCAAGTACCAAAATCACCCATTTTGACACAACATGACTTCGTTTTCAAATCCCATGTTCATTTATTTCATTTCTACCAAAAACCCCTCTTTTACATTTCACCCAAACCCTAGGTTTGGCTCAAAATACTCTCAAATTCCACAATTGTTACACAACCACAAATAACTAAGTTAAAAATCATAACAAAGTGTAGAAAATCCCTCCCTCAAGGAGAGAAGGTGAGCCAAGCAAGAGAGAAACCCCAAAGATGCCGAAAATCAACTCTAGTCGGATCAAAGTGAAGATCTTGAGAAGCTCTATCTCATTATCAAAGGGGGTAGGGTGGAGAAATCCATAGATCTAGGTGGAAATGTAGAGAGAAGGTAAGTTTAGAGAGAGAGAGTCTCAACCTAGGTTTTTAGAAAGTTTTAGAGAGAGAGAGGGATGAAAAAGTGAAATAAAATGTCACTTTCGAGATCTGATATATGCATAGTCCGCTCGAGAGGAAGAGTTGACGTTCGAGCGTCAGACACAAAAATTTGTTTCACTCGAGTGCAAAAAGAGACTCGCTCAAGCGCGGAATACACACGCTCAGTACTTTTGCAGACAACAGGCAAATTGCTCGTGCGTGGAAAACACTCCTCCAGTATTTTGCAGACGTGCAAAGCACTGAGTGTTTGCAAACCCTGCTTGAGCACAAGAAGGCCCGCTCGAGCGGAAGACCAAAATTCTGGGCAACACAAGGTTTGAAAACCAAGTAACCAACTTGTTCCAAACACACTCAAAATGGCCAAATAACCAAGTTTAAGGAGGAATAAAGAGCAAAAGACAATGAACAACATTCAGAAACCATAAACTCGAATCCGGAGTACAACAAGTGACGGGTTAAAACAGAAATCGCTATAAGAGAATATAAAATCTATTGCTCAGAATCTGTTGTGTGGACATATTCGATATAATCATGTGTAACCCAAAATCATTTAACAAGGTATATAAACATTCGATATAATCATGAGTAACCCAAAATCTGTTGTTCTAAAACTTTTATTCAAAACAAATTCACATAAGTACATATATGTAAAAGAATATAAAATCTTTCCAAACAATCCCACATTCTCCATCCCCACACGGATGGGTCAGTGGGAACCTCAAACTTTTCACATTTATTGTCCTCACACGATCAGGCATATAAACACCTCAAACATTCCCACATTTATCGGCCTCACACGATCGGGCACATGGGCACCTAACTTCCCGCAACAGGTACCAAATACATCACACAATATATCATTTAAACAAATCCCTAAATTTGTCTCATCACAAGATGTCTCAACACATCCTCATCTCCTCAATTCATTTCCCATTGATTTCCAAAATAAAGAGCCATAATCAATAGTTAGGGTTTTGCATGAACTTAGGGCTTTTCCTCCTATTCTCTTTAAATCCAAGAATCATGGGATAAATGTTTTTTCTTCAAAGAATATTCTATCATTATAAAATTATTGAGGCAAAGCCCCCTTCTTCCATTAATGTCCATAAAATCATATCACCGCTTTTGTAGCACACATATATCATGAAATCTGTCACATAATCAAATCAAGATATAGATATACACAATTAAAAGTATTCCTACCTCAAGAATGGAAACAAGGAGATAGAAGCCCAACAAGAACTTTGAAGAATATGCGAATCAGTGAAAACCTTGATCTAAGCTTGCTCTTTTCACTTATCTTGGAAGATCTAAGGTGAATCTATAGTAGAAATGAGAGAAATCAAGAGTTTTGGGTTAGGGTTTTTCGAAAATAGGTGATAGAGGGAGAGATGAAATGAAAAAGTGAGAAAGAAATGAGCAAAAGTCAATTTTTCATAAGCTAACTCCAAACAGAATGAAGGCTCCTAGAATCCCAGGTGTGAGGAGGAGACCGCTCGAGTGCTCACTCTTGCACTCAAGTGAACTGAGATTTGTTGGACAAACATAGCCTCATAGACTCAGTTCCTAAGGCGCTCCTTGCACATCAACCTTATTTCCATTTGTAACCATTTAAGTAAACGCTTTCATTTAGCCTCTTACATTTATATTTCATTTACTTAAGTTCACAATGTAAATAAGGAAATGCCTCCCATTCGGATTCAAAGAAAAATATAAAATAAAAAAAAAATGAAAATCCAATTAAATCAAAAAGTGGTTTCCCCAGTTTTAGTACAAAAATAATTTTCCAACTAGAATTTCTAAGTTTGATGTTGAAGTAAGGGGTTAATACTATGTAGAAAAATCCCATAAAATTAAATAAGACTATTGAATATATAAGGAACAATTACCGCTAAAAATTATTTTAAAAAGCGTAAGTTTTGGAAAACCCAATTTTCACACAAAATTTTTTCAAGTTAAGTCTAATTTTCGATAGAAAACTTTTTTAATACAACATCTTTATACAAAAAGGAATAAGGGTCAGATATCGACTCGAGTCGTTACAGAACCCTCCCCTCAGGTGGCAAGTGTGATCTCTATCACACATTACTAGCACGCTTATGATCCCCTAGTGGCTAGGATATCGTGCTACAAAATAAATAACCCGAATCCGAATAGAAAAAATCACAAGATTAGGGAATAATTAATAAATGGTTTCATCCAAGGATTCATCAATTAAATTATTATAACTTCAGGGATAACGCAAAAAAAGGGGAATTAACTTGCTCTCTGATATGTATATATATATATATATTTATATATGTAACATTCACAAAATGGACTTACAAA